CCAGATTCAAGGGTAAACTCCTGAGTCCGGTACCGCGCGACGAACCAGTGGGAGAGTTGCGGCTGGGATATGTTTTGAATGCGAGCGATGCTTTGTGTTTCTTGCTGCTTGCCGACTGAGGGACCGCAGTGGAGACAGCTTGCTCCGACTGCATCTGATCTACCCGTCCTGCCAGGGACGCAATTTGCCCCGACAGTCCTTCGACCAAAGCCCTCATCTTGGAGTCAAACCCGGCGCCGTGCGAGGACGGATCCACAAAGTAACCCGCAACAGGCCCAATAGGAGGAAAGACCTCCAGGGGCACAGCCTCGCTGTAGCCGGGAAAAATTGGGCAAACCATCACCTGAAAATACAGACTGTTAGGATGCCCTTGGACCAGCGGGGGGAGGCCAAAAATACCGGTACCTCCACACCATCGGGCCTTCTACTTGACGTCTCAGTACACAAAGTACCAGTAGTTGAGCGTGAGGACTTTCCACTCTTGCCAAGACGCAACTCACTTTAACTGATTTTTACTGGACGTGCGACCTTGCTGTGAAAATACGAGCGTCGCGTTCAGTCTCAACGATTTTGCATGGCTCCGACAAACATCCCAGACCTCAGAACTCCAGTGAAAAACACACGCCTTCAAGACAAAAACCCCAAACCCTGCACGCAGTCATCGCAAAAATAGCATTCCGGATGCAAGTTCTATGCTGGTAAATTTTGATTATAACCACTGCGCCTCATCTTGAGGTGCAGAGATAAAAAATAGAAGTGATTATCCAGCCGTAATGGCGCCGCCATATGGCCTCGGACACATGATTCGTGATGTAAGGGAAAAGAATCTTAGGGTCATGGGGCTTTCCGTCATTGGCAGAATCGCTGATTAATGCCTACAGTTCAAAATAGTCATTTTGACTGACCGGAGTCTATGGTAGGTAATTGAACGTATTAAATTGTAAAATCACAGTTTAAAGTGAAATGTAAAATCACAGTGTGTAGTGAAATGTAAAATCACAGTGTATAGTGAAAGGTAAAATCACAATGTATAGTGAAATGTAAAATCACAGTGTATAGTGAAATGTAAAATCACAATGTATAGTGAAATGTAAAATCACAGTGTATAGTGAAATGTAAAATCAGTGTATAGTGAAATGTAAAATCACAGTGTATAGTGAAATGTAAAATAACATGATTGTAATGATACAGGTTTAGGAAATCTATAATAACATGTATTGGGGATAGGTCAACCAAACTTCTGAAATGTCATGCAGATTTATGCAGATCAAATTTAAATGTAATTGATTAAGCTCTACAAATTGTTGGTATATTGCGGAGTGAAGTTTCTATCAAATAAATGACAAAGAGCAATTATGATACAGGTTTAGGAAATCTATAATAACATGTATTGGGGATAGGTCAACCAAACTTCTGAAATGTCATGCAGATTTGTGCAGATCAAATTTAAATGTAATTGATTAAGCTCTACAAATTGTTGGTATATTGCGGAGTGAAGTTTCTATCAAATAAATGACAAAGAGCAATTATAAATTGAGGTGGGCAAAGTTGTTGTCATGGAAACAACAACTTTGTAATTTCCCTATGTATATTATTGGGGTTCATAATTGAACAAGCAGCCTGAGATAGCTCCGCTGTTAGCAATGCACATTTCAATTAAAGAACAGAAGATATCATTAGAATAGTATCAAAGCAATGGGACTTGCTGTTTTCAAAAAGAATTCAAAAACATCACTATTCACCAAAAATGACAAAAATAATCATCAAAATTAGATAATTGAAGATATCATCACGAAATGAACAAATCAGAGAGAGGTAAACATGTAGTAACTATATATGTAATATTAAAGCAATTGGACTTCTGATTTTTAACAAGAAGTCGAAAATATCACTTTTTACCAAAAGTTACAAAAATATTCATCAAAATTCGAGAATTAAAGATATCATCACGAAATGAACAAATCTGAGAAAAGGGTAGTAGTACCTTTATATGTTATATCAAAGCAATTGGACTTGCGGTTTTCCACAAGAAGTCAAATTTGAGATTTTGACATGAAATGAACAAATCTGAGAAAGAACCATCCAAGGTACTTGTATATCAAATTTGAAAACATTCTGACTTTCGAAGATGAAGTTGAAATTGTAAAGTTGACGACGGACGACGTTGGACAATCAGTAATATGAACAACTCCACTGTGTCGACAGCAGAACTAATCAAAGAAAGCTTAGAAAGAACTCCCATGTGCTGAGAGTATTGGAGACACATTAAATATAATTCAAAATTACTTAGCTGAAAACTAATTATGCAAATCAGAAAATTAATATGAACAGATTTGAGTGTCAAACTAATGAGGTCTGCGCAATGTAACAGAAAGTCTATGTCTCCAAGTTTAATTGAAATGTGATTGGAACCAACAAAATAGGAATTATTATGCTTATTAGGGAATTAATATGAACAGATTTTTACCTCAAACTAATTAGGTTTGTACATTGTCCTAGAGCATCTTTGTACTATGTTTCATCGAAATGGAATAATTAGTACTTTAGATATCAGTGTGAAAGCTTAAAATTGGTTAATTATGCAAATTAGGTAATTAATACATACAGATTTTAACCCACAATTATCCAGGTCTGTCTATTGTCCTACAGCATCCATGTACAAACATTCATCGATATGTGATGTTTAGTACCTGAGATATCAGTGTGAAAGTTGGAAATTGATTAATTATGCAAATTAGGTGATTAATATGCACAAATATTTACGGAAAACTAATTGGGTCTCTGCATAATTCTAGATTCATTGAAATGTGATGATTAGTACTTTAGATATCAGTAGAAAAGCTGAAAATTAATTATGCAAATTAGGTAATTAATATGCATAGTCCTAAAGTATCCATGTACCAAGTTTTATTGAAATGCGATGATTAGTACTTGAGATACCCGTAGAAAAGCTGAAAAATAACTAATTATGCAAATTAGGTGATTAATAAGCACAAATATTTATCGGAAACAATCAATCTCTGCATAGTCCTTGAGAATGTAAGTACCAAGTTTCATTGAAATGTAATGCTCACTACTTATATCAAATGCTGAAAAATAATTAATTATGCAAATTAGGTAATTAATATGTACTGATATTACCATAAAAACTATCAGGTCCGTGCAGTGTCATATGACATCTATGTACCAAGTTTCATTGAAATGTGATGATTAGTACTTATATCAAATGCTGAAAATTAATTAATTATGCAAATTAGGTAATTAATATGTACTGATATTACCATAAAAACTATCAGGTCTGTGCAGTGTCATATGACATCTATGTACCAAGTTTTATTGAAATGTGATGATTAGTACTTGAGATATCAGTGGAAAAACCAAAAATTTACTAATCATTATGCAAATTAGGTAATTAGTATCCACGGATTATTACCAAAAACTAATCAAAACCTAGCATTAGTTCAGAGCATGTATGTACAAAGTTTCATCAAAATCCAATGAGTGGTTGTTTAGATATCAGTGGAACAATCATGGAACAGCTAAAAATCAGCTAATTATCATGCAAATTAGGTAATTAATATGCACGGATTTTTACCAAAAACTAATCAAATCTGCGCACATGATCAGAGCATCTATGTACCGAGTTTCATCAAAATCCAATGAGTGGTTCTTTAGATATCAGTGGAACAGTCATAGAACAGCTAAAAATTAGCTAATTATCATGCAAATTAGGTAATTAACGAGCATGGATTTTTACCAAAACCTAATCAAATCTGCGCATTGGCCCAGAGCATCTATGCACCAAGTTTCATCAAAAACCGATGTATGGTTCTTGAGATAGCAGTGGAACAGTCGGACACACATACACACATACACACACACACACACACACACACACACACACACACACACACACACACACACACACACACACACACTAACTGCAAAGACTCCCATTTTGTGCTTCGCACATGGGAGTCAAAAACACTGATAAAAGACAGATTATGCACCCACTGTAAAGAGATAGAAGATGAATTACACCATTTACTAGAATCAAAGACATTAGAAAGAGATTGTCTTTGCTAGAATGTAAACTGTACACAGAACACAGAGATGACATATATAATATCCTTAAAAAAATTAACAGTGATTACCAAAACTTAAACAAAAAGTCATTGAAAATGACACAGTCCCCGTTAAGTTCTCTTTGTGCTCGTCATATTAAAGCGGAGGGGTTGTCGCGAGCGTGTCCTTGAAACTTGAGTTCCAAGTGGCGTATACAAGAGATTGTTTATTTACATCAAAACACATGTTTCGTGTCATAGTAATATGGCCAAAATAAAAACAGCCGTTATTCAGCCATCTTTGATCTGATTATGAAACACACTGATATGTATGACATCTATGTACCAAGTTTCATTGAAATGTGATGATTAGTACTTGAGATATCAGTGGAAAAACCGAAAATTGATTAATCATTATGCAAATTAGGTAATTAGTATCCACGGATTATTACCAAAAACTAATCAAAATCTAGCATTAGTTCAGAGCATCTATGTACAAAGTTTCATCAAAATCCAATGAGTGGTTGTTTAGATATCAGTGGAACAGTCATGGAACCGCTAAAAATTAGCTAATTATGATGCAAATTAGGTAATTAACGAGCATGGATTTTTACCAAAACCTAATCAAATCTGCGCATTGGCCCAAAGCATCTATGCACCAAGTTTCATCAAAAACCGATGTATGGTTCTTGAGATAGCAGTGGAACAGTCGGACACATACACACACACACACTAACTGCAAAGACTCCCATTATGTGCTTCGCACATGGGAGTCAAAAACTAGTGTGGGGACCCCATATTATTTCATCAAAATTTAAAACAGCCAAATCACAAATAAGTGTGTAAACTGTCACCTCATTTCACAGAACTTCCGAGTATCAAACAAACCATGTTTATTGCTATTGTTAGTATTATACAAGGAGAATCTAAATTCACCATTTCCACATTTTCTTGGCATCTTGTGCTCTTATTGTCATTGTGATTGTCCTTAGACCTTCAATCTCTTCAGGAACACGGTACACAAGTTCAAGTGGGATGTTCCTTGAGGTAGCCACATTGGATTCTTCAGCATCTAATAGAATACAATACAAAGAAGTCATCAATATGCCACAGTCCCCGTAAAACTATCAAGATATCGATAGATGCATGTCCCATGGAATAGCATTCTGTTAAAGGCCCAGGTATACTATAAATATGTTTCTAAACAATAAGGATTCTTTCCTTGAAAGTCACACTGTAGTAAACCGCTCCAGCTAAGCTCTGATAAAGACGTGTTTTCTCGAACTTGCAGGTCGATTATGTCGTGCCAAAGTGGATGTATGTGACTATGAATATCACAGCAGTGATTATATATACCGGTAGTTTTTATGACAATAATTAGCGTACAAGTTCAGTTTTTGTTGGATAAAAGCCAAAAACACGAACTGGAAAAAAGGGCAGGGATCTCGCTACGCTGGTCGGTGGTGGTTGGCCCTGACCGGCACTCAAAATCAGCGACTACCACGGAAATGCTTCCGACCAGGACTATTGTTCGATTGTTATTATAATTATGTACCGACCGACACGCATCCTGCCAGTCGTGGATTATAATATGTAATATGTAGTGGCTAGTAAATTTTGTGAAATTAGCACCTCTTTGTAAGTAAATACTTTCTGCGATAGTCCTTAAATTGAAAGCTAAAATTCTTTCAAAATCAATTCCACCTCGATATAACATGGTCAAAGCGGAGTTCACGATCAGTTTACGCTACTCAAGAAAAAAAAACAATATGTTTATTGCGTGATTTGGTAAAATACATTTGAACTGATATCATTGCAAATCATGTTAAAACTCTTCTTTCAAAACCTATTTTACCCTTTAAAAATAGCTAATCACCTCTTTCGAAAACCATCATGCAGTTTTCAACTGACATCACTTTACTTTCGCAATGTAATTTTTATGATCACTACCATTCGGAAAACATTGGATTCTACCGGCATTACCATGCAGCATTCTGATTGGTTAATGGCATTTTTGACCCATTGGGTCAAAGGACACATTAACTGCGACCGAACTCATTAATATTCATTGCTAATTAACATTCATATAACTCATCAATATTCATGACCGACTCCCGTTGGGCTCGCGAGATCTCTGCTCTGATGCGCTAGTAAGCTTGAATAATTAACTGCTGTCAATCAATGTCACGTGACGCTGGGCTGCTGAAACAGGTTGGAGTATAATCTCGAAAATACATTTACACAGTTCCTACTGCTATTGCTATCATTATCAGCCATAAATACACCTAGTCCTGTTTTAATGATATGAATACTGTGTTTAGTATTGTTTACTGTTACTTGGTGATAAAGAGCATATTCTGGAAATAGCGCAGCATATGGCGGTAAATGGAACAAGAATGAGACTCGGATCAGACGATCTTCAGAGTTTTCAATGTTGGACCAATAATGTTACATGTAACTCAGTACGAATTAATTTACTGGCTTCATTGCGGCCTTTTTTATAGTTGTTTAAGAAAACTGTGTGCCCACACGCCAGCTCATAGCTAAATCGTGACAATTTTTGTTTTCTCTAAAATTAATTTTGTTAACGTGACTACTAAATCTAGCCTTTTACACTTCTTTTTTAACTACAATTGATCATGTATATTCAAATTTCTTTGATTATTTTGTTCACTGTGGGACTATATATGCAGATATTACAGATCATCTTCCAATTTTTGCCTTCATTGAAAAAGGTGATAAAATGTTTCACAGAACTAAAGAACACTACATACACGACTTTTCTAGTTATAATATTAATGATTTTGATCATCAACTCAACACAAATTGGGAAATGTTCATAACACGACTGATGTAGATACAACTTATGATAATTTCACTGAAGTTTTCAACAAAGTTTGTGATAAAATTGCCCCCTTAGTGAAACAGAAACTCAAATCAACAAAACCCAAAAAACCTTGGTTAACTCAAGGAATTATGAAGTCAATCAACCATAAGCATAAACTATATTATAAATTAGTGAAAAGTAATTATGATTCAACACGTCATTGTGTCTATAACAGATACATGTATAAGAATATTTTAACTTCTCTTCTTCGAAAAGCCAAAAAGTTGCATTTCTCTAAGCAAATCAATGCCAACAAAAACAATTCTAATAAACTGTGGAAAATAATTAATGAAGTAACTGGAAGAGTTGCTGCTTGTAGTGGTAAATTACCCCAAATTCTTGAAATTAATAATCCTAACAATCAATCTGAATATCTGCATAATCCTCCAAAAATAAGTGATTGTTTTAACAAATTCTTCGCCAATATTGGAGAAGACTTGCTAAGAAAATCACAAAATCTAAAGACCCTGCCAGGTATTTAACTTCTAGTAATATTACATCATTTTTTTTTCTCACCATGTTGCAGAATATGATATGGAAACTGAATTACAATTCCTCACAAATCGTGCAGTCATGATTACATTTCGCCTCATTTGTCAAAAGATGCTACCCAGATTATAAAGAAACCCCTATGCCATCTTACATTTACAACTGGAGTCTTTTCCAACCAATTAAAAATAGCCAAAATTACTGCCATATTTAAAAAAGTTTCCCCTTATTTACCTGGAAATTATAGACAGATTTCGATATTACCCATATTAAGTAAAATTATTGAAAAAGCTGAAAAAGCGTTCGACACAATTGATCACAAAATTCTTCTTTTAAAACTAAATTCATATGGCATACGTGAGTTACCTTTAAACTGGTTGAATAACTACCTATCAAATCGAAAACATTATGTCCAGGCCGATGGTTATAAATCCACAATGCAGGCAATTAAATATGGTGTTCCCCAGGTTTCTATACTACGGCCTCTATTGTTTCTTATTTACATTAATGATCTTCCTTCTTCGTCACCTTTCTTTCAATGTAAACTTTTTGTCGATGATTCTAATCTATCCCACTCTTACACAAATTCTTTAAATGTTCCAGAAATAAACAACAACCTAACTTTGGTGAGTGACTGGTGTCAAGCTAATAAACTATCAGTAAATAATACTAAAACTAACTACACAATTTTCGCAACTTCTAGGAAACAGCTAAGCATTT